TTTTTTTTTAATTATTATTATTATTATTTTATTTTATTTTATTTTAAACAGGGCCTTATGGTTCTGGCTCCTTTCCATTCTGGGGAGCATCAGTCCGGTTCCTATTCCCCCGGCAAGTCAGAATAAACAATACAACCAATAAACACACATGCTTCCTCCTGTCTGGCCAAAGGACCCCTGAACAGCATTGATTACTCCAGACTGCCGGAGGATTGACTGTCAGCTTGCCATGCTTCCCTCTTACCTCTCAGATCTATTCACTAGATCTGCCAGATATACCCGTAGCAGCAAGAAAGAGGTTACCCATTACCCAGGCTAACCCTTAGGGCTCCTACTTCGACTTCACCCCTATGTCTCTTTTCCCCCTTATCCTCCTCATCCCCCATTACCGAAGGGGCATCCAATTCTAAACCCTGAACCCCAAACCCTCGTCATATAAAAGAGTTTTCTGAGCCCACCAGACCGCCAACTCGTCCCCTCGAACCAGTTTCCCAGGGGTCCCTGACCTCCTTGCCACTGTTGACTCAAATGGACCACAGTTCCCTTTTTTAGAAATTTTTTTTATATTGTGAACCCTATTTGTCCCTTTTTCATTTCCGTTTCATCTCCTTCTTGGCTGGGCTCACTTTAATTCTTATGGTAGCCTAAGTCCCTGTATCAACCGCTGAACATCTATAGTGTCGTCCTGGTGCTCCTCTTTGAACCAATGAAAGATAAGTCTCTCCCCTTCAACAGTCGCGACTTTGCCTTGGGCTAATACCCTCTTGTGAAATTTAGATAAGGTATGATTTGCCTTCTCTGGGTTAAGCGCCAATTGCTTCTTTATTCTTCTCCACAATGCCCTAATCCCCGTCTCCAACAAGTTATAGAGAATTGCCTTGGCTTCCCCTCTTGTCACCGGTGTCTTACCCACCACCTGTTGACATCTTTGTTTCCAGATTGTCCATAGAGTGTACTGTCTCAGAAGTTGAAAGATATATTTGTGGCCTGACCTCCATCCTTTAGGCAACTCACTTCCAATCAATATTATCTTTTTGTTACTTGGAAAGGGGACGTCCGTAGTATGTGCCCATAATGCCCTGGAGATGGACCAGAGATGTTCTGCTTCCGGGCAATGGAGCAAACAATGGATCAGAGTTAAACTTCCGATACACCTCCCGTACACATAACACAGTCATGTTCCGCCTCATTCCTATTGATCCTGTTTCTCTTATTGAACAACCAAGCATTGACTGGGAGTGCTACGTGAAAGATAAGCCACTGCATACTCCTGACCTTAGGTAGTCTGATGCTGTGCAAAGTTGACCATGGTAACTTTTCTACCTGGTCCCTAGGTATATCCATTCTATTCTCCCATCTTCTTGCCAAAATCTGGTCCAACTGGTATGATCTCCCCCTCAGACGGTAGCCCATTTTAGTAGTGTACTGAAGTATATTGATTCTCCTGCTTACTGTTGATGAACTTCCCCTGATGTTCCACGCCCACTCTGCTGGATCAATTTCCAGATCCCTAATGGATGTTAGTGGCTCACATATCGTAAAATCTTCATTTTCCAGAATCTCCACCACTCTGATCTTTATCAAGATGCTTTTCTTGATGACTACCGGAACCCCCGAATCCCTATCCAACTTACTGACCGTGAGTCCTGGAGAAAGTATTGTGTACATATCTGCTTCCACCCATAGGTTAAAAGGTTCGACCTCCTTTCGTATACAAAAGGCTGCCTCTGGTTCATTGGTAGAGGTTAATGTTGCCCAATCTCCCCCTCCCCATTTGTCCAGTTCCTTCAGTATCGTTGTCCACTCATCCGGGATGGAGATGAGAATGTCATTCAGGTTTTCCGTTAGTTTGTGACATCCTTTCATTTCCTCTCTCAGCTCCCTACCTGTTTTCCATCCCCCCTTGTTGTCTGACCAGAGATGCCATACACCATGTTCTAACCACTTCCCCCATTTGGCGTCTTTTGTTGTTAGTGTTCTTGGCCTTCCTTGAGAGTCCTTTAACCACGGATTACAAAATAGCGGTTGTCTGAGCACCTCATCCTTCGTCCTCGGTTTTCCTACTCTCGCCGGGAAGACCTCTGCCCATATTTTGAACAATTGAACCCAGTATGTACCCCTAGTTGCTCTTTGGTCTACTACTTGATCCCCAATTCTATCCTTCTTAGTCCAACCCTTGCAGAATAACCAGAATGTACCCTTCATATTGGATGGCGTTTTATATCTTGCCATCTGACGTATGTGATCGAGTACCAATGGGACCCATCGAAGGTGAGGCTGTGTTAACAGCTTTATGATCCACTTAGTTTGAAGTGCCCTTATCTGCTGCCCTGGATCCAGGACTCCTAACCCTCCCTTATCCTTTGGTTGGATAACTTGGTTCCATGCCACCTTTGAAATAAAGTTGAGTCTCCAAGGGTTTGCTGTCCATAGATATGCTGCTGCCACCTTCCTCAGCTTTTGTAGTGTATCAGCTGGTGGTGACCATATCGTTCCCACGTACCATAGCATAGAGAAGATGGAAGCATTTATGACCAACGCCCTCCCGAACAGTGAGGTATGTATTTCTGACCACGTCGCCAACTTTAATAACATTTTTGTCATGTGTTCTGGCGCCATAGAATGATGGGGACCCTCACCCGACATTCTGATACCCAAATATCTCAATGTCTGATCCTGTGATAACCACGTCATGCCTTCATAATTTTGTGGCTGTTACTGTGGCTGTTGGTCATCATGTGATAGCCACCACCCCAGCGTCTTCTGCCAGTTAATTCTCATTTCCGATGCTAGCTGAAATGCCGCCATTGCTCTCGTAAGGGCTTGGAAAGAAGAATCCGTTGCTCTGATTAGTACTGTCAGATCATCCGCAAATAATATCGTTGTCGGTAAATGTATGACTCGTCCCTTGTGGTCTGGCTCAGCAATCAGACGGTCTATCGAAGGGTCTTTCCTGAGGAATGAGGCAATAGCTTCCATTATAAACAAGAAAATAGGAGCCGCTAAAGGGTCCCCTTGCCTTACTGACCTTGTCATTTTATACCGATGTGATATGTGGCCATTAACCTGGACCTGCCCGTGTGCGTCATTATAAAGTACATGTATCCATTTACGAAAGTTAGGACCTACCCCCACTGTCTCCATACATTGCTGTAGGAAATTCCTTTTTTTTTTAAAAAAAAAAAAAAAAAAAAAAAAAACAGGGCCTTACGGTCCTGGCTCCTTCTATTCTGGGGAGCGTCAGTCCGGTTCCTATTCCACCGGCAAGTCAGAATGCATATGACATTAAAACTTAACCACGCTTCCTTCCGTATGGCCGAAGGACCCCTGAACAGCATTGATTGCTCCACCTTGGTGGAGGATTGACTGTCAGCTTGCCGTGTCCCTCTCTTTCCTCTCAGATTTGGATGCCAGATCTGCCAGATAGTGCTATGCCACCTAGAAAGAGATCATCCTTTGTCCCTGTCGGCCTGTGTCCTCCCCACTCATCTGCCCTGCCCGTGAGGCGTGATATCCCCTTTCCCATTTTGTCTGTCCCCCCTTTTTTTTAACATTTGCTGTAGGAAATTCCAGTTGACTTGATCATATGCTTTTTCGAAGTCGAAAAAGAGAATCGCTGCGTTTATCCTCCTATTAGTAATGTACCTTACTGATTCTGATAAAGTCATAACATTATCCAATATAAATCTTTGCGGTATAAATCCCGTTTGATCCAGATGAAAACAACTTTCTGTAACCTTCCTCAGGTGGTTAGCTAGCGCTTTAGCGACAATCTTGTGAGTAAGAGTCAATCCATTGAGCTTCAGAATCTGCTACTTTCATATACAACTCTCTTGTTTCCTTTTCTTTTTTTTTTTTGGGACCATTTCTGGATTTATGCGCATCCTTGCACAGGGGGCATGCTAATCTTCTCTGTTCGTTCCCATTTTAATGGATGTCCTGAAGGACACAGCTCTCTTGTTTCCAATCTGGCTTGTGAGGGAATTAACTCTGGGTTCTCTTCTAGTTGTCTTATCTTCAATCTGACTTGTGAAGGAACTGACTCTGGGTTCTCTTCTAGTTTATGCAACCGAACAAATGGAGTGCTGAGGGACGGCAATCAAGAAGTCAAACAACTAGACCGAGCGCTGCAGGATCGACACTGAAGAGAGGCAAGCATGATGGATGGTGATGGCCAAACTGCACTTGAGATGACATTGAAATTCCAGGAAAAGGACGAGAGGAGTTCTTCTCTGTGCATTGATGTTCACCCTCACAAGCCATGGATTTTGTCCATTCGTGATCACACGTTGCTTCAGGTGTGGGACTACGAAGATGGCTGTCATGTCACAGCTGAGACCCATAGCAGAGGAGGTACTTTTAGGGCTGCAAAATTCTTACCCAGTAAGGATTGGGTGGTGGTTTTTCGTACCGAACGACGGGAGCACAGCATACTTGTTTTTGAAATGAGGCAGACTTTGAATCTCAAGATGGGGGAATTCAAGGAAGTTAAAAGTTTGCGAATGAAGGGTAAAGAGATGCATGGGGCATATCAAGACAATACGTACATCCTCGCTGTGAATCCCAGCTCCAGGTATATACTGACTACTGGGCTATCTGCCATTCACATCTGGGACCTGAACAATGGTTGGGAAAAGTTCACCTTCAGTCATCAGTATGGGATAAAGGCGGTGTCATTCCATCCTTTGGAGTCACAGGTTTTTGCAACCGGAGGATCAAAGGGTGAAATCAAGGTATTCGACTGCGAAAGGAGGTCTGTCCTCGAACAATACGTAAGCAAACGTCACATTACTTCAGTACAGTTCTGCAGCGATGGACGCAAGTCGATGTCACTCCTCGTCTCCGGGAACGCATATGGCAAGGTAGAGATCTGGGACTACAAGCGGAAAGAACATCTGGCCACGCTCGCGCACAAGTACTTTGTAAAGGAGGCCTTCTTTCATCCGCATTGGCCGTATGTCTTCAGCGCATCGTCAGATGGAACCGTCAAGGTTTGGAGTGCTTCAAACTACAAGTTAGTGACATCTTATCGCAGTGGCTTGAGAGAACTTTCAAGCATGGCTCTTTGTAGGGACTCTAATATGCTTGTTCTTGGCGGTAAAGAGACCTTCCTTGCAATAGAACTTAAGGAGGCAAAGCAATCTAATGTGGATGCGAACAAGAGAGTCAACATGGAAGTGCCGAAGAGTGAGCAGGAGTGGGAAAAAGGCTTCCAAGAACACAAATCAGGGCATCGAAACAAGGACGAAGTGCATGCGGAAACAGTCCAGCCGCTTCGTACACGTTCTAATACGCTTGTTCCTGGCGGTAAGGAAAACTACCTTGTCATAGGGTTGAAGGCGAAGGCCAATCTGTATACAAAGAAGAGAGTGAGAATGGAAGAGCCACATAGCAGGAAAGAGCAGGACAAAAGCTTTCAAGAATACAAATCAAGGCAAGGAAACAAGCAGGCAGTGCATGCAGAAACAATCCAGCCACTTGGTACAGCGGACGTAAGCAATCCGATTGCAGAGGGGAAGGCACTGGAAGCGAGACTTGCACAACTGGAATCAGAGCATGAGACGGGGGACCGATTGCGTGCAGAAAGAATCGAGCAACTTAAGCTGGAGGTCAGCAATTTGATGGTGGCAAGTGAGGCACTACAAGAGAGGTTTAAGTGTATTGGATCAGAACATGAAACGAACGAGCGAATGCATGCAGAGAGAATCAAAGAGATCAAGATCGAGGTGGGCGATCTAATTGGGGAAAGTGAGGCACTGAAAGAGAGATTCGAGCAGTCGGAATCCGATCACAGCCAAATTGAGCAAATGCATGAAGATAGACTTGAGCGATCAGAATCAAATGAGGGACTGATCGTAAAACGGGAGCTGTTGCAAGATAGACTTGAGCTACCAGAGGCAAACATGGCGATGAGAGTACAAAGGGATAGACTTGAGCGACCACAGTCAAACATGGCACTGACAGGACAAAGGGATAGACTTGATCGACCGGAGTCACACATGATACTGACGGTAAAAAGGGAGTCGGTGGAAAATGGACTTGAGCGATCTCTATCACATCATGAAGGAAATCAGTGCCTACATAATGCAGACAGGATCAAGAAGCTTCAGATCAAGGAACACCCTAACCCAGTGATCCAGCACCTCCCGTTGAGCGATCTGACGGTGAAAAAGGAGTATCTGGAAGAGAGACTTGACCGTCCAGAACCACCGCGTGAAGAAAACCTGTGCGTACATGTGGAAACCATCAAGCAGCTTGAGACCAAGGTAAGTGACCTCGTGACCGGAAGAAAAACACTGAAACGGAAACTTGAGCAATCCAGGTTAGAGCATGAAGAAAACAAGAGGATGCATGTCAAGAGGATCAAGCAGCTCGGCTCCGAGGTAAGCAATCTGATGGCGGACGGGAAAGCACTGAAAGAGAAATTTGAGCAGTCTAGATCAGCATATGAGAAAGACAGGCGCACGCATGCAGAGAACATCATCGGTCTCGAGATGAAGGTAGCCAAACTGACGGCGGAGAGGGAGGAACTGAAAGCGAGACTTGAGAAATTGAACTTTAGGGCTCATCAATTGGAGAGAGAGCTAGGTGTGCAGGATAAGTTGGACAGATTTCAAGAACTGCAGACCACGGATCAAGAGCCGCATGCCGATCAATTCTGGGATTTTTCCTTTGAGGAACTGCAAGCTGCAACCGACAACTTCCACGATAACTGTAAGCTTGAAGATCGGCATTATGGGCGCGTATATGCGGGAATGGTCACACCGATTATGATAAAGAAACTCCACCTTGATCAGAAGGTCTGGAATCGACGGCATACCGGATTGACGAGGGAGATAGTGGACCGACTGAGGTCACTTCGACACCCCCATTTGCAGACCCTCCTGGGAGTGTGCTACAGAGAAAATTGTTTGGTGTTTGAGCACATGGCCAACGGGAGTGTCAAAGAATGGATCTCCTGTGAGGGGGGGGCTAGAAGAGAATTCCTGCCATGGCGGATACGCCTCCGAGTTATGGCAGAGGTTGCCAAAGCCCTGTTCTTCCTTCATTCCAATCAGTCAGCAGCTGGTGGTCCCATCATCCACCATGCCATCAGGCCAGAAAATATCCTTTTGGATAGCAACTTTGTGGCGAAAATTAGTGAAGTTGATGTGGCCTTGCTTGTCCCAGACCAAGCGCCCGAGGCGTGTGTGTTCCCGGGAACTAGTCTCCAATACCTGGCACCCGAGTTCTGTCAGACTGGGGTGTTCGATCAGAAGGCTGACATTTATTCCTTCGGCATTACCATCCTGGAGATGCTCACTGGAAAGTTCAAGAATGCGTTCGGAACCATAGCAGAAGCAGTTGAAGACGCTGCAACTTTTAGGAGTGCTCTGGACCCAAATGCGGGAAACTGGGACGTGGATCTCGCACAGCAGGCTGCGCGGCTGGGCCTGCGCTGTGCCAGTCTGGAATGCCACAATCGGCCCAGCATGAAGGGAGGCAAAGATGCGATTCTACCCCGACTTTACGACATTGTTTATCGGCACACACACGTCGCACAGTCAACAATGCCGAATAGACGACAGTCTATTGTGAGCAAGTCACTGTGAACTTTGTGAAGCCATGCATGCAGGGCGGTAACGATTAGACGAGCACCAAAGTATTATGTCTCCAATAGTTATGTCTTTGTAAATATAATTCTGAATGGTTTCCGTGTTGATGCAGCTGAGCTGTAGCTCATCGCTCCTTCCTTCGGGGGAAACAAAAACTTCAACAGCGCTTTAGCGCAGCATTCTGTTTTATCATATTGTATTTGTAACCCAGTCTTGTACTCTTTTTTCTCTCTCCTTTGTTCATGCTTCAATACACTTGTTCAGTTGGTCTTTCCTTCCTACTTGGACTCTAGGAAGCAATACATCAAACTGAAGAAGACTAGAGCCTGGTGGTTAATATGACCCTTCTTCTGTAACGGTTGCTCTTTGTTAGATGTATGAACCATGGGTTCCTTCCAAAGGAATGGACAGTTACTCATCATTTCCGATACAGTGTGTTTGTTTCCTAAAACTTTCGTTTTACATCATCGTAACATGGGCAGTGGCGAAGGTTACGAGGTCATGGAATTCCAGCAAAAAAATAATTTAACAGCTATGAGAAGCAAGCAGTAGGTACCTAGCCCATGTGGCAGAATGGTGCACACACATATCACTGTTAAGACGGATCAGCAGTTCTAATCCTGATAGAATAGAATGACGTTAGTGGAAGCGCACACGGATCATTCTTCTCCCTGACGTAACCGAATGGTGCAAACGGGTGTGTGGAAGTGCTCTCTCTCTCTCTCTCTCTCTCTCTCTC